CGTGACAACCCCGGCCGCACCTCGGGCCGGCCCCGCCGGGGGCCCGCGGAGCCGCTCGCCCACCTACCGTGCTCGGCGCTGGCGGCTGCTGCCATCCCGGTGCTGCTGCTGCCTCCGCCTGCCCTCGCTCCCGAGCTGATGCAACAGCGCGTCCGGAAGCCTCGCCCCGCCCGCCCTACGCTACTTCCGACGGGCCGCGTCACCCGGGCAACGGGCAGCGCCTCACGGCCCGGCCCCACACGGCCCTGCCCCGCCCGGCCCAGCCCCACATGGCAGTGCCCCGCTCGGCACGGCCCCACACGGCCCTGCCCCGCCCGGCCCAGCCCCACACGGTCCTGCCCCTCACGGCCCGGCCCCACACGGCCCTGCCCGGCTGTGAAATGACCGGCCAGGGCACCGCGGCCACCCCGAGACCCAACAGCGCCGTGCCAACCAAGCCCCGGCTCCGACTGCCGCCGCCCGCCTTTCCTTAAATAGCTCCGAGGACGGAGGCGCCGCCGCCAGGACAAAATCCCAGAGCCAGGTTCCGTCTCAGACAGGCTTTTATTGCTGTGCTTCAAACATAACTGTGCTAAGCAGTCCGATACAGAACAAAAGCTTTTCGGAAATAAAAGCATCACAGTACTCTCAAAAACAGCAGCGGACTTTTGGTCCCCGCCACCCAGGTTGGGACAGCCCAAGCACGGCCACACACTAAGGGATGCCGGAGCTCTTGGTTCCCAAGTAGGCATCCAGCACCTGAGTTTCGTATTTTACAACTCAAAGGTAGGAAGGTCATGTAAACATGAAAACAACAGAGACATTTCACACCTTCCAGGTCTCTGCGTGAGATAAGGAGGGTATCAACTCCATTTCTACTAGCAGTTTCTGACACCCTCATTTAAAGAAGTCTAAAGACACACGTATGTACCCAGGAACATTTTTGCAGTTCCTCCTAGACATTAATCTTCAGCTTCTAGTTTGCTTAAAAGGTTATTACTTTTTAAGGTGTTCGATTTGTTGTAATAAGCCTCATTATTGATGCATCCAGTGCCTCAATGCATCCAGTAAATTAGTAATACACGTTACTTTCCCGAGAAGCATCTTACAGGATTTTCATCTCTATTATTAGGAAATTTAGAAATAATTTTATCAATATCATTTTCCTGTAGCTGTGTTTTCATAAGCTGCTTCCACTGTTGTGGTGGTACTTCCTTTATAAAGACATCAAAGGTCTTGCTCAGTTCTGCAAGAGGAAACACACAGCACACATCATCCATCACTAGAATTTAAAACACAGGTTTTTTGGGTTTTTTTTCCATAGCTCCCATACATACTTTCCCCTTAATTTTCAGCCAATACCTGCACCAACCAAATAGCAGCAGCAGCAGGGTTTGGCACCTAAGAAGCACCAGGACAAACAGGTTTTCTGCTAAGTGATCTTGAAAGTAGCTAAAGTGCACATCTCAGAAGTGGTCTCCTAAGGCAGGACACCACCCAGTAAAGGTGGTTTTGAGGAAGGCTCCACTGGCTGGCATGTTCCCTTGGCAGGGCTACTGAAGAGGAAGCCTTAACCACTTCACTAGGCTGCTGTCATAGGTTTGCCACACCAAGAACACCACAAGCAAAACCCATTGCTTGGACATCCAGCACAATTTGCTGGGTACAGGTGGATGTATGGAGGTTTGATGTACTCTTCCAGGTGAGGGGACATTTGACAGAGAGATCTCTCACTCTGATTTACACCTCACTGAGTAAAAGAGAGTACACTGTTGCAATGCAGACTCATTTTAAAACATTTTTCAAAAATTTGTACCATTCTTATTCTTAAAATCATGACTGCACTATACTCCCATGCAGAAAAGTCATGCTCCAAAGTAGAAGAGTTCACCACAGGGATTACAAATGCAGCAATAATCCTGTTTCAGCAAATTTTACAATAAACTGGAAGCCTTATAGCTCTAACCAATAATCATTAGCCTCTTTATACTACTCCTTAAGTAGACTAAAGTCAAGAGGAAAAAAACCAAGTTCCAAGTACTGGCAATTTATTACTTACCACTTTGAGAGAGATCTTTAACAATTATCTCATTTAATTCTTGTACCTGTAATACAAAGTTGAACAATTACTCCAACAAATCAGGGTGCTTCACTCACTATTATTTTTCTACCTACTTGACAGCTTGCTTTTACAGCACACACAGCAAAAAGGGGAAGGGGAGCAGATTTCGGAGCAGAAAAGTACTGGAGTACAGAAAGTTGCAGGGTGAAACAAAGATGCTACTGGCTCCAAGGCAACATTCTCTGCTATGACAAAAGCATAGCTTCTGCTGGGGAGATGAATGAGGCAGAGTAAATTAAATGGAGAATTGAAGTTTTTTTTCCCGCCCAGCTATCACATCCCATACTTCCTATTACATCTTTAAGGCAAAGTTTCCTCTATTGTTTTGCCTGAAAGCTCTAGGACTAGTTAAGAGCTCAGCTAAAGGGACACCTATATTAGAGAAGATGCAATGATAATTTCACACACGTACACTTATCTTACAATTTGCTGGAGTTCCACTTGGAACATTAGATAGGGCATTCTGCTGAAAAGTAGAATTCTGGACAGGTTTTCCTGCCAGTGAGGACTTAGCAATCCTCCTCAACCACACTGCCATATGGCACTTCCAGTTCCTACACAGGATAGTGCCCGGCTCAGAAACCACACTATTTTCTGCTATTTTCTTCTGTGGGAAGAAAAGGAGATACTTGAAGTCACCAGGTATCAGGGAAACAAAAGGACAGCTGAAAATGTGGTAAAGTTACAGCCTTTACAGAATTAGACTTCAAATGGTTTCAGGGCCTGACTCTCCACCTCCCTGGCTGTTCTGAATGCACTGGAATACACGCAGAGTAAGGCTCACAAGTTACCTCCACAACCACCACAGGAAACTTTTCCTGATGTTCTTACTAATGTGGATTGCTGCTTTTTCCTCTCTAGGTACAGAAGGTAGGCACCCCTCCTAGAACAGGAGGGAATTAAATTGCCTTGCTGCGCCTGAGCTGCTTTAACAGCACCAGGGACCTCAAGCCTATTGCTGTGTCAAGACTGATGCTCAGAACTGATGCCAAGTAGCCTGTCAGCTCTGTGGAAGTGCACTACCTTGGGCTGGCTGTGGCTGGATTAGCTTTCCTAGCAGATTCACAAACTATAATCAGTTGAAAGAAGCCAGTGAGCACCTGTGTCCATTGCATAGCTTTCGTGAGGGGAAGCCAGCAAGAAAGGCTCCCTCCCTTTCTTGCATTGTCAATTCATTAAACAAGCATAGCCAGGGAGGACAGCACCAGCTGCTCAGCATGAACAGTATAAGCACAAAGCAGAGAAGCATGTCCAGCACAACAGGTAGTGCTAAAGCTAGCAAGCTTTAGGAATAGTTTGTTAGATGTAGAAAATGAGGATAAGGAGTAACTGTTCTGCCCAAGACTTGTGTTTATTAAGGTGCAGTGTCCTTGTGAGTATAAGCCAGAGTTCTTTCTGCTTGCACAGGGGTCAGTGACCCACAGGTGAGACCACAATGTGGCCAACAGGCATAGGCAGGGATGTGAGGGGGACCCACCCCACATATCACACATGCAGTTGTACATAATTCTCATTGAAAACACTTATATTTAAGAGTATAGACACATTGAAGACATTAATCTTTTTATATAGGATAATTCTTAAAAAGGAATCCACATGACTGAAAGAGCACAGCATGGCTGACACTTTTGTTTCAAAATCCAGCATCAGCTATTCAAGTATCAGCAGTTGTTGGGGCATTGGAGCAGTACGAATTCACTGGTTCTTTGGAAGGGAAAGTGTGTAGGTGCCAAAATACTCGGTCTCAGGACTACATCAGTGTAACTCTGCTTAGCAAATAAGCTCTTACAGCAGCACGAGCACTCCAAGTGCAGACTTTGCATCTGCCTGTGACAGCTCTTACATGAGAGACAAGTGGCACCATGCACCAATTTGGAACTGCATCATTCTACAACCATTTTATTCCAATTAAAGACATTATATTTGCCTATTCCTATGCTACAGCATTTTGACCAGTTTTTTTTTCATGTTTCTTCATCAGCTTCTACAAATAGATGAAGTGCTGCAAATCTGGCCAGGGCGTGAGAGGAGACTCAACCCAACAAAAAACGTGGGGTGTTTCACATATTTGAGCCACTTATGGACCTTAAGAAAGAAAAAGAACAGAGTTTAGCGTGAGCCTTTGAACAGCTCTTTCAATTCTGTTTCTTCAGTCTTCAAGTATTTTTGACATAAATAATTTGAGCATTTAATTACTCAAAATATCTAATTAATTACATTAGAAAAGAATGCACACACTGGGTGGGCAATGCATTGGTGAGGGACAAGAGAAGCTCCAGGGAGAAAGAAGTGCTGCACGCACGCTGTGAGAACAGCCTAGATATTTTCCCTAGCTCCTCATCAAGACTAACATTTGTTGTGTGAAAATAAGACTTGAGTTCATTTTTGCCTTGTCATGCTGGTAGGGATGTAGCTTCTAACTAGAGAAGCTAAAGCCAGCTTGTGTTTACTTTGTCCAGTTTTGTATTTCTATCTTGCAGAATGCTAGACTAGCAATAGGTTTTTTCAGACTCAAACAGGAGGGTTCTGAAATAGTGTTTGACTACAGGATACCAGGGAGTATCAAGTTTCAAGCTGGAACATATGACAGTAGCCATTCTCAGCTGGATAAGCCTTTTGTAGGGATGTACTTTGGGACTGGTATGCTCTCAGCCCAGAACCTCTCCTCTTTTGGGACTGCTTACAACCAAGAATTCAGACTGTCAGGTCCTGGTCTGGAGCTTGTGTCATGAGCCCAAAGGCAGGTAGACTCAATCACTACTGGATTAGGAGTGGTTAAGTCTTGTGAACAAATAATTTGAAGTCAACAATGCAATGAGAGCTCAAATACCACCATACAGGTAAACAACAGCTGCCATCAGCTGTGGAATACATGTCTGAAGCAGCAAAGAAGAAGTTAAATGGATCAAAGCATCACTTGGAGACAGTCTGAAGCAAAAACTTGCAGCTAGCCCAAGTTTTTTCCCCACTTCCAAAGCACCCTTGTCACAGGCTCTGAAATGTTTCCAAGTATCGACAAGGCCAACTGCAGCAGACACATGCAGTTACTGAATGCATCAGGCACTTGTGAATTAATATCTGATCTTGTATGAATCACGACTTATTGCATCACAGGAACACATCCTACCAGATATCTACAACGAGACAAACATTGAGGGCTATGTATCAAGGTACAGTGAAGCTGTGAACAATTAGACTGAGATGAAACACTTGATTCATCACATACTTACCAGACCTCCCTCTGCATCTTCACCAGTTGAAGCAGCTGAAAACCAAAATCAGTGTTTAAGAAACTTAAAAGAATTGCAGCAACTTAAACATGGCTGAATTCACACAAGACTTATATGCAACAGAAAATTTTGTAACACAATCAAAGCTTGTAAAAGCCATTTAGTTTCTTTGACCTGTCATACATTTCACCCTTATCTTCCACCAACAACACTGTGCCTTAATACAGAGAAGAGTCCTGCCTAGTAAAATGCAGACCACAAGATGTAGTTTGGCTTTTAAGCCAGTCTTGCAACATCCTCTATGCCAGCTTTTGTTTCTCAGCATTTTCATAGGCTATTGAAATACAGAAGAAAAGGCAGAAATTGTCTTTACTGCAGTACAATCAGTAAGACATGATTTGAACAAACTTAGCATTTAAAATTCAGAATAATTTTCAATATTATTTTAAACAAACTAGTAGCAAAAATACTTTAATACACAATAGTGGAAATAGAAGTTTCCAAGGAAAACAGCTCAGTTTCTGCTAAAAAATAAATTCATACAGGACTTATCAGCCTAACATTCACTTAAGAGGTTCAAGTGACTAAAGGGTACCAATTTGTAGAAAAAAAATCTCCACAGCCAAACACAGTGAAAGTAATTAGTGATCTAATTAGTTGCTACTTTTTGCCCCATGCATCTGAATCCACACACAGGTTTTTCCTCTTTGCCAATACAAGGCAAGCAGATTGGAGAAGTCCTTTATAAGGACCTTACGACAATCTTGCTTTGAAGCAGAGCCATCTGTCAGCAAGATAAGAAAGTTCATAGTTAAGGATTATGAATCATGCATTTTATTTACCAAATTAAACTCTTCATTTCACAGGACTTGCTAATTTCAATCACACGCTAAATGAACTAAAGTTTAAACAGGTCCCCTGTAAGGCAACACAAGAACCAGGGATAGATAGCCCCTCGTGCACGCTTTGCCTAACTCTGGAAAGCAAATTTCATGGATAATAAGCAAGTAGTTACCTTTATTACACTTCAGCTTTATAATAACAGCAATTAGCAGAACCAAACCAAACAGAAACACCAGAATAACCCAAACAAGAGCTCCCTGCCCTGCAAAGTAAGAAAAAAAAAATTAGTACTGAAACACTCCCCCAAAAAGTTACTCCTTGCTGTCCTAGAGAAAAAAAACATAAACCCAGAACTAATATAACAACCCAGATAGCTTGTCCTGGAAAAGGCACTGGGACTCTCAGCTGCCCTGAACATGCGAGTACTTGTTCGCACTGTGCATCACGCACACATGCTCCCAAAGGCAACGGGGACTTGCAGAGATACAATACAACTCCTACAGGGTTTTCTGGAGAGACACTTAAGGGGAAACAAGTATTCAAAAGATGATAGCAAGCTTTGGGTGCTGTAGCATGGACAGTGTGTGTTCCTGGCAGAAGAAGCTACTCCAGGCACAGCAAGCATATTTGCACTACCCATAACTTTCAAGTGTCACCCTTGCAGCTTGAAGAACCAGGCAATACAGGTAGCTTTTCACCAAGTGAAACACAAGGTGGTCTGTCCTTTCAATCCCTTTGGGAACTTGTCTCTAGCAAGTAACTCCCAGACCGAAATGCAGCTGCTGTTAAATATGATGCAGTAGTTGAAACCACTGTTTTACAGACAGCTCTAGTGTTATTAGCTTGAAGCCACAGACCCAAAAACCAAGCTGAGTGGGATTTGTATACTACACCTTGATTGGGTAAGCTTGGGTCTGTAGCATCAGTGGAATTCAGTACAACCTCTTTCCCGTCTGGATGCCTGAAATGGGTGATAACACAAAGCTGTACCAACACTTCCAGAGCAATACATAGCTCTGTCCAGGCCTGATTATTTTTCAGACAGAGCTTAGAACCATGAATGGAACATGCATAAACATGCATAAACTTTGATAGAAGTGCACTTTTAAACAATCCAAGATAAGACTACAAGATAAAATAAAAGCAAAGCAGATAAAATTAATGTGTGTTAGCTTCTAAGTGGAGGGGGAAAAGAAAAAACCACCGAGTACAGGCATTATTCATGTACAGTTAGTTTAGTTCTACATCCTGAGATTTTGAGCTGGGTGCCAGAAAGTTCATTCAAGCGTGTTTCTGGGGAAATACCAACCTGAATACATGAAAAATGCAATTTAACAGCCATAAGCAACAAGCACAATGACACGCAAATCAACATCTTTCTAGGTCTCAGCATCACAGGTTTTGACATTCAAAATGTAAATGCATGAATAATGCCATTGGGTTCAGGGCTATTAAGTACAGCCTGATGACATGTGTTAGCTATTGGCACAGATTGGGCCAGAGCTCTAACATTTCCTAGAAGGAAGATAGTACTTATTCTCAAACTTACATTTCACTGTTTCTCTGACATCTTTCACAGCCCTCATCAGCACAGAAATACCCTTGTTTGCACTGGCATTCAGCATTCTGTGTCAGAGTACAGGATCTCAGTGTTATCTGATCTAAAAAGAAAATATAAGTTAGCAAGTGCAAAAATTATACTCAGGCCATAAAGGCAATTTACTTTTAAATTCAATATGCTCAGTGAAGACCAGGTTTTTTCATATCAAAAAAAGGAAAATGGTTAAGGTTTCATAATGTTTCATAATGTTTGGTACCCTCTTTGCACTGTCTGCAAGGCAAGCATTCCTCCAAGCTGTTCTCGTGGGGAGTAAAGTCTTTTCCTTCTTTGCAAGGGTCACATTTTCCTCTCAAATGTGAAGCATTGCAGTGATCAGCAACAAAAGTACCTGTGGAAGAAGAGAACTGGCAGCAGCAGCCTCAGGGGATCTTTTGACAAAATGCTAGGCCAGGATATTACAACACAAATTTCTGGAGAGTTCAACCCTTCCTTGCATGCCACACAAATCGAGCAGCACAGGAGAGTCAGGAGGCACATTTCCAAGGATGAGACAATTGCAGCAGCTCAGGGAGCCATGTAGACACACCACTGCTGAAGGAATGGGGCAAGCTCAGGGACAATTGCTTTCAATAAACTTTTTTCTCCCACCTAAAAGCACCAGTAAGTTTCTGATACCAAGAAGAGGTTTTGTCTTGGTACAAAACTTGTTAAATCTGCATGCATTGTGCAAGGAGGGGAGAGCAAAACCATACTGAAGTTTTGCCTATGGACACAGAAATATCAGAATTCCCCCTAATGCCATCCTTTGTATTAACTAAATTACCACAAACACAAGCAGAGGCTTCCTGGCTTGATGCCAAAGCACCTCTCCCAGTCATCAGCTGTTGCATTAAGGGGCTCTCACTTGAAAATAGAGCCCAGCCTTTAGAGCACTAAGAAGTCATCACAGCTTCAACCAGGCTTAGACTTTCACTAGATGCAATCTAAGAAACAAGACCTATCAGCTGTAACTGCTCAAAGTCTTACCTGCTTCACAAAATACACAGCAGAGACCTTGATGGGAGTACTCTGTCTCCTCACAGTTCGCTTGGGCTCCAGGCATCGTCAGTAGCATAACCTATAGCAAACAGGCAGCTAGAGTGATTCATCCTCCCAGGACACGATAACTATCTTGGGGATTAACTTGTAAAGACTTGGAAACACATTCAGAAGTTTATGGGAAGCCACAGAGGAAACCCAAACTAATTTCTGCTAAGTGCTGCTCACTTAGTTGTCAGCAGTAATTGCCAACACAAAGCTGGGGTTAAGGCAGCACCATGCAGCAGCTAATGGGTTTCAGGCAACAATTGCTAAACATTCCTGCCTCCATATAAACTTCAATTTTCTCTCCACTAGCTCACGGCACTTGAACTTCAGACTCCAAGGTTTCTGCGTTGTGCATTTGTCCCTTCCCCCATCCTTTTAATTCATCGGAATCAGTGCTAGTCTTGCTCATGCAAACTTGAGGAAACGCCCTCTCATCCAAGACGTCTCCCGCCTCCAATCTGAGCCTAGAGAAAAGTTGAGTCATTAACAATGCGGGGGAGCACCGGGTATGATTTTTTTCTTTTCTTTTTTCTCTTTTCGGGAGGAAGAACCGTGCAGGCCGTGCACTCCTCGGCAGAGATCCCGTGCCAGCGACAGGTGCCTCTAAAGAGCGCAAGCTCGGTGCTGGTACACCTGAGTCACATCCCTCACGAGACACACGAAAGAAACCTCTAGAACAAAAGCAGGAGGAGGGGAAGAGGGGGCCGCCGAGCTCCCCGTCACTAATTGCCACCAGCGGGTAACTTCTAAGCTAAAACCAAGAGGATTCCACTTTTTCAACTCTCTCCGTGGTAGACTCAATGTCTTCCTCGTAACTGTGGGGAGCCGAGAAAACTTCTAATTTCACAGTTAAATAGCACAAGGATCATTAAAGAACTCACTTCTTGCTTGTAATTTTTATTTTTTTTCCGGAGGAGAAAAGGAAGGGCGACAGTGAGTGCGTTAGGGAGGGACGCGGAGGCCCGCTACCTGCTGCTATTCCCTGAGGGCTCTGGGTTCACGGCAGCGGCGCTGCCGCAGGAAATTCCCCGAGACACCAAACACGAACAAAAAGTTCGGGAAAGTTACTAAAGTCTCTTGAGGAAGAAAAGGATAGGAAAACCCACAAGGCTCCTTCATGCTAGAGGAAGACTTTTTTCCCCTCAAAATACGGGATTTGGGCTCTGTCTGGGCGGCGGGCAGGAGGAGGACGAGCCCGTAGCGACACAGAGCGGCCCCTGCCAGAGTCCCCCCAGGCACTCACCGGCAGCAGCAGCAGTCCCACCGCTCGCCCGGCTCCCATGACGGCGCCCATCGCTTTGGCTGCCTCAGCTGAGCCGACGCTTTTATCCCCGCGGGTGGGGCTGTGCGCACGGGAGGCGGCGCCCCCCCCCGCCCTCCCGTCCCACTGTGGGATGCACAAAACCCGCCTCAGAAAATAGCCTCATTTGCTTCGCCTAAACCTCAGGCGCTGAAGGGCTGCTCACCCTGTTCACAAAATGCAGAGTGAAAGGCTGTAAGGAGAATTTTTCCAACACTGAGCAAACGAAGTGCATATAACTGGGTGTTCTAAAGCCTTAAAAGGGGTTCCCACGTTTCTCCTCAGCAGTTATTCCTCCAAGAGAAACAACGTTTCTGGCCATGATTTTCTTCAAGAATGCTTTTAATTTCCTATGTGTGTGTATCTGGCATGTAGGAATGTTCACCTCCAGATGCTGAAATTGGATTAAAGTTAATGGCACAAGGATTCATAGGCTGTTCCTTTTTGGATTATCGTTTAACCTCTGTGGCAGCAGCCCTAAATGTTGGAAACTCTTCCTCTGCTGATACTTAATTAGTTCGTGAATGTTGCTACTTTGTCTCACTGAACTGCTGCTCTTATGTAACTGTTTATTTTATCAGCTGCAAGTCCTAGTGAAAATTCCTGTGGCTCCATAGCTTGGTAAAACTGAAATAATCCAAACAATTTCCAGCACTCACACTGAGAACAACTGAAGCCTTCCTGCTCAGCCCTGCTTCTCTTCGGTTCAGGGGAGCTTGGGTTGTTTGAGTTTTCTTCTGTTGTTGTTTGGTACCCATTTCCCAAAGCCAGGATACAGATGTACCCAAGGCATGTAAAATAGCCCTACAGAAGTGGAGAGGCTCCTCTCCATAATTCAAATACATGTCCCAAAGCAGGATGAGTGTGATGAGGAAGGCTGTGCTGGCAGGCCAGAGATGTGCTGATTTGCTGAAGTATTCAAAGGAGATATGTTTCCACAGTGGATATGTTCATACAGTTATACATCCTAACACTTGGATGTATCCCAACCAGGAGCACTTTGAAGCCACGTACTTCTGGCAGGCAGAGGCAACTCCCCCTCACTGAGTTTTACACCATGTAGCAGAGGTCAGACTTCCTCAGAAAGAGTAAGTCTGGATGTAAGAAAGAGTAAGGACTAGGATGATGTCCTTCAAAAAGGCACCTAATCTGGATCAGTAATGTTGATATTCTTCAAGGATGTTTCCTCAAGGGTGAAGAATATTTTGGTTTTCTGGAGACTTTTGCCAATAACAAAGCCACTCCCACCCATTACTATAAGTGATAAGTTTTCTGAATGTCAGCTTCCAGATGCTGGCTCTTACCCTGCCTGTTCACATCAGAGAGCTGAAGTTCTCTCGGTGGAACAATCTGCTCACTATCCTCAAGTCTTTGATATAAAGGTTTCCTAAGTTCAAGACAAGTTCGTACATTTCCATGTACAACAGTGAAAATCAAAGGAACCATTTCTCTTTCTGTGGAAGTTGCTACAATTAGAAGACAATTTCAGAAAATTTCTGACAATTTCAGCCAGAGGGGTATAAAACTGATATTGCTGTTCTAACCTATGACTTAGGTCTGACATTCTTGGAGGCAATTTCCTGTTGATTTTCCTCTAAAAAGTGATTTACTTGTAAAATACAAGTATCAAATGCAAAGTTTTCCTCTAAAAAGTGATTTACTTGTAAAATACAAGCATCAAACACAAACCCCAAAATAATTTGTCAGATAGACTGCCACTGAAAGTTGTGTGTAGTTTTATTTCAACATATCAAGCACAAACAGGTTTCCCCTAACTGGGGAATATGACGAGGAATGTACTTAAAAATTTGGAAACATTTACATTGAAAGATAGCCCAGAATGGCACCACCACTAAGTATTTTAAGGCTGTATATATAGCAGAACTTACCACTTGGAACTACTTCAGGCCAGAAAAGAAAGGCTTAGTATTGTCTGCAGTCTACAGAAAATATTGCAAATCTTTAAAAAATGGTGTAAAATAGGAAGACTATTAACAGGGTTGAACAATGCAGTGGCAAAACTCTCCCTTTCCTGACCTTTGACTATAAATGTGCCTAAGACTGAACACATGTACACCTACATCGCTCCCATCCTTCTCACCTATGCTGGGGCAGTGGATTTCTCTCTACAATGCTAGTGTGTGGTATTATAAAACAGCCATATAGCAAATAATAACAATAATAGTAAGTGACCATGTTTTACAAACAGGCGTGCGTGTCTAGCATCACACTCGATGGGCTAGACCCAGGACACCAGTCAGCTCCATAACCAGGCGAGGAGCTTTCACTGAATACTTCCCATTTCCTAAAGAAGAATGGCTCTAGGAAATTGTGCATATTTACAGTTTCTGTGGAATGGAAAATAAAACACATCCTGAGGTCCCATTCTGCGTGGGCTGGCTAAACAGATCATGACTAATAATATCCTGGGGCTGGATTTTTTGGACCAAGTGTTCTCCCTCCTGTAATTAAAGGCAGCCGGACAGGCACCGTGGACATCAGTTCTTTACAGCTCCTCAGCTGCTCTCTCTCACTCCTGGAGCTATAACCCAGGCCACTGTGGCTTTTCCAAAATGCTGAGGTGATTACCATTTTGGGGTTACCAATACTGCTGGGTAATTATTAATTGCATCAGAAAATGACAAAACATAGAAAACAAATTGCACAATTAAAGCTACATTTGGCTTCAGCATTAAGGCCCATACAGGTTAAGAGGTCCTTGAAGATGTACATGAAAAAGGCAAAAATTACGTAATCTGCAGGAACAAAGTTTTGCAGGTTCCTAGGTCCCTTTTTAACCTCGTTTTTCCACTTCCTTCCACCTCTGCCATGTTGGTTCTAAAGTGCTTTGGTGCCTCGCTGGGCTCCTTGCGTGAGTGGCCCCCTCCTGCAGCCAGTGATCATTATTGCTGCCAAACGTAGTGATTTTATTTGAAGACGTAATTAATGAAGAGTTGACACGTAAGAAAGATGCAAAGGAGAAACCAACAGCGAGAGTCCAGGAGGAAGCTTTCAGAAGAGGCCTTCCTGTGGAAGGACTTTTTGTTCAGAGCACTGAGGTTTCTGCAAAAGAAAGCAATATGATTATTTGTGTGTTGGAGAGAGGTGTGCCTTCACACGTGTGCCATATACCCAGAATTTCCACACCAGGAGGGATCCCCGTAATTTGTTGACACCCTCAGGGGCAGAGCAGTATGCCTCCACAGATTTTACCTCCCTCGTTTTAACAGGAAGATCAATGCTTCTGGCTGCAGCTGGTTGGCATGGGAAGGGCACAAACCACAAGGAATCTCTTCATCCAGCACCCACTCATAACCCTGTGAGTTTAACTACTCCCTAACCTTCCCAAATGCAAGGCCTGTCCTGGACACCCCCAGGAGCTGCAGGGATGCTAAAACCATATCACCAGTGACTCTGGCATCCAGAAATGGTAGGCCTCATGTGATCCCGCCTCACTGAAGCCTTGGGAGGGCTGGATAACACTCCTCATCCAGAAAGGAATCAGCAGCGCTCCCTGGATCAGAAGTAGCAGCTCATACCTCCCCACAAAAGTCTGAATGGCAAAGCCCTCTGCCAGCAGCAGGTGTGGTTACTGCTTCCCTCAGATGGCAACCAGCCATTTGTACAAAAACTGGAGTTTAGTGATTTTCATCATGGAGCCCAGTTTTTCAGGCCACATCCCTGCATCTCCATAGCAAACAGGAAATTCCCAACATGATCAACAAGAAGAGACACCTCACACATTCTTGCCTGGCAGAGATTTATTTTAGCCAGGGCGTGGATCAGCCCTTTTCAGGACCTTAAGTTGGGGAACATGCTGAGGTGATGCTTTTTGCCTACAAAGGCAGCGTTAAGAGGAAGAGATTTCCTCCTCACTCTTTCAAGCAGAGTGTGGGTTTGTATTTCTGGTGTGTTAACTGGTTACTTTACCTACAACAACTTGTACTGCACTCCTGCAGCTCACAGAGACATTCCAAAGACCACAGTAAGGAATTAAATGCACAAGTTATCTTTAGCCCATTAAAATCATTGATTCAGGTCAGAAAATGGTTACCTGTGTATGTCCTGTTGGGCTTTCTGTAGGGATAAGACAGCTGAGTGAATTTCCTTCAGGTGATTCATTTCTTTCCCACACTGAGTGCACAGGCTTTCAAACCCTGTGGCAAAGTATTGAAGGACAATTATGTTTTGCATCTCCATTCTGGTGGTAGTGATGAAACACAACACAGCAAGTGGGTGGCCGTGATCTAATTGTCACTACCAGGGGGGACACTTTCAGAAGGAAACATGGGGAGAAGGAAACAGGAAACAGAATCTTTCACCCAAAAGACCCAGGCCACTGTAACTGGCCTGTCTGTGACTATGGCTCAGGGTGTTTCTTGGTCAGCTCTAAGGAAATAATGTTCCTCAGCTGAGGGGAGGAGAAAGAAGCACTCACACCTGCCCTTTCTCACACACATTCAAGGTCATCTCTAACAAAGGCAGAGAAAAGAGAGAGAAACACAGCCCATTTCCTATTTGTTGATTGGAATGACAGTGGTTTTTTCCAATTTTTCCAGGAGTTGGGAAGTCCTTGTTGTAAAGCAGAAAGAGAAATAGCACATACAGAGAACAGAAAAGCACAACATTCTCTGTGCTGCCTGTGGGCTGTTAGCCCATGGTATTAACTGGGCCAGGAAATGTCCCAGGGCTGGCTCAATAATTAAAGTACCAAGGGAATAACATTAAAGCCTGAGCCAGTGACACCCAACTACTTGCCATCATCATCTGAGAGCTCCTGCACTGACTCTGGCGTTGAACAGCTGCTCTCTGTGTTCTGGCTGTGGTTGGACGGCTGATCACTGGTTTTGCGGCGCCGGCAGTCTTTGGCAGACCTCTGGATAAAACAGAGATTAGAAATGACAGTCTCTATCACACTGAAGACGTGCGTGTTTGCTTTAAACAATTTGGGGTGCTGGGAAATATGTGTGAGATTGTGAAGTTTGATCACTTTC